TACGTTATGTATTTCGTAGATATACTTGTGAAGAAGAACAGAAAGATATCGTTGCCACAAGCTAAAAAAGGTGTCTGTTTGACCTATGGTCTTTCCGTTGAATTCTGAATTGTTTTAGCCACTAATCAACCAACGGTAAAAATAATACGGGCACTTACAATGAGCTGGTGAAATTTGGAAAAGAAACATTTTCTTAAAAATATCTTGAAATGGAAGATAAGTGTCAAAAGGGTTTCATGAAATGACAGCAATGTCGATGTATTGTGGGAAATTAATTACATTCATTATTATTAAAAAAAAATGTCGTTAGATACCCGAACAAAAGGTTATTTCGTTATATCAACACGGATACTTAAAATCAAAGCTGTTGCTTTGGCATAGTTGATATTGGAAACTTAGAGCACAGCTATTAATAAAAAAGAGTTCCCCAGTATGTTGTTTGTGAATTTCCTGGCTTTAAAGGCAAAGATCTTGCAAGGGAAATATTTCAAATTCTCTCATCTTTGTTACATATGATTTGCGCACCAATAACCTGACCATCCCACCTGTCAGTAAGAAAAAGAATTTAGACATAAACCTTTGATAACAAAATCAATAAGGAAAAAGGGTGGTACACGTGCTAGACAGACTCTTTACGCTTAAAACTAAGCCAACAACAATATAAGAAATATCTGCAATGGTCCACAAATTTTAATTAAAAAAATATTAAACTATTGATTCCTGAAGTACGGCATCTCAAATCATGATATTGAAAACTACGACACCATGTAGTTTCCGAAAAGATATTTTGAAAATGTGGGCAATACTTGTAAATGAGGAATTTTTAAGCTAAAGACCCTTCTTTACGGCTATCATCAGCGTCGTAATCACCATCGTCATCGTCATCATCATCATCATCATTATTTCTATTACAACTGGTATTACTACTTACGCAACAATGAATATTTTATGGTAACTACTAAATACAGGTAACGTCCTCGAAGGTCCTCACTGGTGCGTGCAGTGGTGGGATTATCATATTTTCATATGAATTAACCTGACAGACATAGTCAGATAGAACATGAGAGGAAACTCAAATAGATGTCAAAGTTCCAGAAGGGAGTCGAGCATTTCTCGATATTTCTGTGTTTTTTCGTGTAGTAACGGAGACTATTTAGTTGCTCGGGTTATGTATTGTGTGAAACAATGTTACTGGCAATCATTACACTCATTTGTTTTTGGAAAGAAGCCTGAAAAAGTTTCAGGCTTATAGGGGATGTGTGACTCTCAGCTAAACCTTAAAGCCTCACTTTGGGAATGAGGCAATTTAGTGGGCAAGGTCTGCCGCAGTATGAGGACGAAGGGAATTTTTTGTAAAAGAGCCGTTTTCGTTTTCGCACAATCAAATGTCATTATTATCATTAAATTCATTACTATCTAATAATGAAGATATTTGGTACAATTTAAAAAACGTCTTTGACAAAGCATCAATAATTAAGTCTCATGAACCTCTATATCGTTTCACACCATAGAAAAACGCAAAAAATTCGTACCTCACGCTTCGTCAATGATGCATAAATAGTGACGTCCAGGAACAACGCTTTTAAGCCGGAGAGCCAAGTTTTTATCATTACCTAACAAAAAATGCATGATATTATCGTAAAATGCCCGTCTTTCTTTGGGCCGGAATCTTGCCATATAACTATGGTTCTTTTCCTGTCTTAGTCGCGAAACATGTGTGTTAGGTTAATTCATATGCAAAGATAATTTTGCCTACTACTGCATGTACTAGGAGGGTTTCATGCATGCCCCCTATATTCAGATGAAGCCATGAAAGATTAGTTCATTGTGAAGATGACAATGAAGAAGCTGATGATAACCGTAGAGGGGAGTGTCTAGTTTGTATTTTTCATATTTACAAGTATTACCTATACTTTGCCGAATGTTTTGAAGGAAATAAATGAGGTAGTATTGTTCAACTTCAGCGGGCTTAAAAGAAGACCGTGTATACGTCCAGTCCTTCTCATATTTTTCGATATTTTTATAGTATCACATCCTTGGGTATTCATGATATTTCAAATACCGATTTTAACGTTTTTATTAAACTCATCAGCCATGAGATATGAAAACTTGAATTTCCGATCGATAACTCAGTACCTTCGTGATTCAAAAAGCCTCAACGTTATCCATTCCAACCTGAGCTTTTAAAGGTAAATTAGAGAACCCGCTGGGAGTTCATTTCTTCATTGAGTATCTCTAGATTCTGGTTTCGTAAATGTTTGATCGGCTGAGCCTCAATGTTGTTTGACTTTAATAGAGTATTCAGTGGAAAATCGTCAATTAGTAGGTTTCCCCCTTAGTGCTTACAACGAGGAACAGTCTTCGTGACCTCAAAAACTTCATACTTCAAATTTTCCTTGGATATCAATTTGAGGAGATTTACACTTTATACTTATATTGAAATTCATTTGCAATATGCACGGTAATGTCTGTCCTGCAGATATTTACTCTTTTTTTTCTTATCAACTTTATCAGCATAGATCTATATTTTAATTCTTCAACCCTTTTCGCAGATGGGTGATAAGGAGCTCCTTCCCTTCCCCCACCCCCCGACCACAGCTTGGATCTGTTAATTTAGCTTTGGGTTTATTTATTTGTTTTTCTTTTATTTGTTTCTTTGCTTATTATCTCTGTTTTCTCGTTTGGATACACGTATCTTTTCACAACAAATCGTCCCATGATTTGCGTGAATAAACATCGAAGTTGAGGAAATATTAAATAGTTCCATTGAAAGATTATTGTCTTTACAGTCAAGAAATTAGCAAACAATATACTGGAGAACTTTTTTATTAACAGCTTTGCACTAAGTATAGCGAATGTAAGTAACGTCCCACCACAGATCGACATATCTCCCATATCAAGTTGCATGTCAAGATCCTATTTTCATTTCATTCAAAAGTATAACGATTAAGATTCAATTTCTGAAAAAAAGTTATTGTATCATCTTAAATTTCAAGCGCTCTGCTTTGTCAAATCATCCATAAATGGGAGCCTATTTTTGCCGAGTTATGCCGAATGTGACAATCGTATCTTATAAGTTCGGAATACTTTATAAATACAAAGGCAAACGGAGATATAAACATTTAAAATATAAATATTCGCTTTACGTAAAGTAGGATAGACATTAAGTATCGATCGAGTGTTTAGCCATTACCCTCTCGAACCCCTCCCCTCCCCCCACCCCATACAACTGTGTCCTGTGAAAATGACCTTAAGATCTGAGTGTTATAAATAGACCAAGTTCAGAAATAATACGGGTTCAGTTTGTGTTTCGCAAAAGATTAAACAGTCATTATAATTACGCTCTCTTCGGCAGTCTTATTGACAGATATCGGTCAATTAGAATACCAATCAAATTAACACGTATTCTTTTTCATAGTAATGTGATTATTACCCGACCGTGACCAGCCTTGTTGTAACAACACTCATTGTCCTGGTTGTTTCCATTGTTGTAAGAGCCACCCCCACCCCCACAGGAATCATAATTACCATGTCCACTGCTTCCCCCAGAGTACCCTCCTCCTCCTCCTCCTCCTAACTCTCCATCAGCCCCACCTCCTCCACCAAACCCACCAGCGATATCGTAACACCTGGCTCTTCCACCCACCCCTCCCTGAAGAAATCCCTTACCACCTTCTCCACCCTCTCCCATGGTTCCGTTAAAGTTCCTTCCACTTCTTCCACTGGAGAAAAACCCGCCACCACCACCACCTGAAAGAACAAAATGATGATTCAGGTCTTAGTGAGCGAAAAACACCTAGTTATATAATTAAAATGCCCTAATGTGCCCATAGCAACATAGTCAAACCTTACATAATGTATATCTATTAAGCTGCGATCTGTCAGGTTTAATATTTTTGTATAGCTTTTTTATCCTCGGATGTATGAACGGGTCCTCCTTCTAGGTGGTCTGACTGATTTTTTTCACGTTACCAAAACTTATATTGTGGGATTAGGGCCAATGATTTACATCTGAGGTATACATAAACACATTCATCAATGAAAAGCTGGGGTGTAAGGGATCATCATAGTATGCTCCCACCTGAGTTACCATCATCGTCAGCAGTCTGCGCACCATGTCCATTGTTCCCCCCTGACCAGGAATCGTACCCAGGATTCGCTGTTGCGTTTGTGCTGGCGTCACATCCTTCATGCCTTGATTTTACAGAGTCTATCCCTCCTCCCCCTCCAGCTATTATCAAAGGTATGTTGGCTCCTCTAACTACGAATGTACCTCCGCCACCTCCAGAGGATTCGTCCTTCTTGTTTATATCTCCTTCTTGACCTACAAGTATCCGGATGACTTCGCTCTTGTTTAGGCGGAATGTTCCAATCATTCTTGCTCCTCTACCTCGGTACTGAGAGCTTTTAGGATGTACATCGTATCCTCCTGCTGCTCCAATTGCTTTTATTCTGTAGTCACCAGTGTACGGTACGGTCCATCGTTGAATACCGCTGGACAATGTGACTTGTCCGTCATGGTCCTGACCTGAGTACTGACTGCCTAGAGTTGTTGGACCATACATTCCAGTGGCATCGAGATTTGTAAAAGTGGCTATGAATGCTAGGGGGAAAAATTCCACATATTTTTTTTTTTTTATAGCACAATTTCTTTAAGATCGTTTAAAAAGGTCACAAATTGTAATAATTGTATTGATTCACGATCTTGACACGGATGTTCTTCAATTTTAAACATGAAGGGCGCTCGCGTACTTGCAAACTACGTAGCAACATTACAAGTCCCAAAGTTGCAAGGAAATTGCAAGGAATTAGAATTTGTCCATCCACATTTATCTATATAGCCTTCAAGGGCTAAACAAAGTTATTTAAACGGATACTGAACGCGGTTTTTTTAGGAGCGGGAGAAAGCAAAAGAAACGAGGCTGATCCGCGAGACGCATTGAAACTAGAATATTCGACACGTGTTTTACAGGAGTGTCGGATAGCACACCACTATGACACTAAATCTGACATTTATTTAGAAAGATTCTTTGCTTCACCTTTTTTCTCACAATTTTCTTCCTTGTGACCACCTTGACACAGGCAAATGTACCCTTTATCCGTAAACCCATTTAGGCAGGTTGCATTAGGAAGACAAGGGCTACTTGAGCATGAATTCTGCTGGGATAAATTTACCTTTAGTAGGATCTCTTTTAGTACAAACTTATCATAATCATACAAAGGGAATGAGGAACCTGAATCCACCGTATTGTGTCCTATCCAAATATCCGCACCTTTGTATTCCAATACCGATATCCTTCTAGTGGTTTTAGGTCATCAGGATGCTGAATGTGGTCAGAATCACTCAGTTGACAGACTCTGTGGCCATTCTTGTTGGGTGGACCGATGTTCACGGACACACAGGTATTTTCCATGAGGCACCTATTTTTGCAGTTGCGATTGGGCTCAATTCCCAGGTGTAAAGTGATTTGTTTGAAAACGTGTTGTTGCAGAGCATATCCTTTACGTGGCTTCTCAAACCTAAGACTTCGACAATGAACACCTGCAAGTGATTGGTGAGATTTATAGTGACAAGCATCTTTGACCTTAGTACTACAAATTNTCCACTGCTTCCCCCAGAGTACCCTCCTCCTCCTCCTCCTCCTAACTCTCCATCAGCCCCACCTCCTCCACCAAACCCACCAGCGACATCGTAACACCTGGCTCTTCCACCCACCCCTCCCTGAAGAAATCCCTTACCACCTTCTCCACCCTCTCCCATGGTTCCGTTAAAGTTCCTTCCACTTCTTCCACTGGAGAAAAACCCGCCACCACCACCACCTGAAAGAACAAAATGATGATTCAGGTCTTAGTGAGCGAAAAACACCTAGTTATATAATTAAAATGCCCTAATGTGCCCATAGCAACATAGTCAAACCTTACATAATGTATATCTATTAAGCTGCGATCTGTCAGGTTTAATATTTTTGTATAGCTTTTTTATCCTCGGATGTATGAACGGGTCCTCCTTCTAGGTGGTCTGACTGATTTTTTTCACGTTACCAAAACTTATATTGTGGGATTAGGGCCAATGATTTACATCTGAGGTATACATAAACACATTCATCAATGAAAAGCTGGGGTGTAAGGGATCATCATAGTATGCTCCCACCTGAGTTACCATCATCGTCAGCAGTCTGCGCACCATGTCCATTGTTCCCCCCTGACCAGGAATCGTACCCAGGATTCGCTGTTGCGTTTGTGCTGGCGTCACATCCTTCATGCCTTGAGTTTACAGAGTCTATCCCTCCTCCGCCTCCAGCTATTATCAAAGGTATGTTGGCTCCTCTAACTACGAATGTACCTCCGCCACCTCCAGAGGATTCGTTCTTCTTGTTTATTCCTCCTTCTTGACCTACAAGTATCCGGATGACTTCGCTCTTGTTTAGGCGGAATGTTCCAATCATTTTTGCTCCTCTACCTCGGTACTGAGAGCTGTTAGGATGTACATCGTATCCTCCTGCTGCTCCAATTGCTTTTATTCTGTAGTCACCAGTGTACGGTACGGTCCATCGTTGAATACCGCTGGACAGTGTGACTTGTCCGTCATGGTCCTGACCTGAGTACTGACTGCCTAGAGTTGTTGGACCATACATTCCAGTGGCATCGAGATTTGTAAAAGTGGCTATGAATGCTAGGGGGAAAAATTCCACATATTTTTTTTTTTTTATAGCACAATTTCTTTAAGATCGTTTAAAAAGGTCACAAATTGTAATAATTGTATTGATTCACGATCTTGACACGGATGTTCTTCAATTTTAAACATGAAGGGCGCTCGCGTACTTGCAAACTACGTAGCAACATTACAAGTCCCAAAGTTGCAAGGAAATTGCAAGGAATTAGAATTTGTCCATCCACATTTATCTATATAGCCTTCAAGGGCTAAACAAAGTTATTTAAACGGATACTGAACGCGGTTTTTTTAGGAGCGGGAGAAAGCAAAAGAAACGAGGCTGATCCGCGAGACGCATTGAAACTAGAATATTCGACACGTGTTTTACAGGAGTGTCGGATAGCACACCACTATGACACTAAATCTGACATTTATTTAGAAAGATTCTTTGCTTCACCTTTTTTCTCACAATTTTCTTCCTTGTGACCACCTTGACACAGGCAAATGTACCCTTTATCCGTAAACCCATTTAGGCAGGTTGCATTAGGAAGACAAGGGCTACTTGAGCATGGATTCTGCTGGGATAAATTTACCTTTAGTAGGATATCTTTTAGTACAAACTTATCATAATCATACAAAGGGAATGAGGAACCTGAATCCACCGTATTGTGTCCTATCCAAATATCCGCACCTTTGTATTCCAATACCGATATCCTTCTAGTGGTTTTAGGTCATCAGGATGCTGAATGTGGTCAGAATCACTCAGTTGACAGACTCTGTGGCCATTCTTGTTGGGTGGACCGATGTTCACGGACACACAGGTATTTTCCATGAGGCACCTATTTTTGCAGTTGCGATTGGGCTCAATTCCCAGGTGTAAAGTGATTTGTTTGAAAACGTGTTGTTGCAGAGCATATCCTTTACGTGGCTTCTCAAACCTAAGACTTCGACAATGAACACCTGCAAGTGATTGGTGAGATTTATAGTGACAAGCATCTTTGACCTTAGTACTACAAATTCGTGTCATCCGGATATATTCCTGCTTTAACATGTGCATTAGGAACTGGAGTAAGTCCTTCGTCTGCTGAGAATTTACCGGAATCGTCCCAATTCCTTTTCAAGGTTAAATTAGCGATTGTCTATCTGCAGGTTTGGCGTCCATTTTGCGCGAATGACCTATCATCTTAAAAGAGAAACTGCTGACTCAATTACCGAAGAGATAAATTTAGAAATTCATGGTTATCAAATACGTTTATTGTATAGGAAGGTAGTGTTGAGGTAAATCTGAGCGTTTTGTTCAGTTATCAATAGTCCTTCCTTGCCAGAAGCCACACCATGAGCCCTGTATTTTTGGATACGAACGCCGGCAAATTTGAAAAAGTTTGGTCGACCGACCTCACTTGCTTGAGCCATACTGTGGATCGTTGGCCCTCTGTTGTTTTCCTACGGAACGAGTACAGTGGCCAAGAACCAATGTTCCCCAGTACGGCACTCGCGCTCGGTTAGTAAGAAGTTAGAATTAATGGCTTTTGGCCGAAATTTCATCATAGGATCCAGCTATTCCATAAACAAACCCACACACTAAAAAAAGTTGAACTTATTTGAGGTTGTATCTGTTTTGGATAATTCTGTGGGAGAGAAAATATTTTTCTACACATCTCTAAAAAAGCTTTGGTTTCAAACAGCGCTGTATGAAAATTTCGCTTTTCTTTCATAACTTATTCATGCTCTCTTCACTAATTTGAGACGAGATATTTTGTTAAATATATGCATATACTTGCGATGCAATACACATTAATCAGTCTCATAACTACCAAGCTAGAATAGAAAAACAGTCAAAGGTGCGTTGAAGGAGCAAAAAATTAACTTTTCCCTAAAAAATGGTAACGTTAACGTCCTCTTCTCCCTTGTTAATTGAAACTATGGGAACTGTACCCTATTTACAAAATACTTAAAAGTTGAGAAAACAAAGAAAATGAAAACTAGGAGACTTAGAAGTGTAGCGTATTTTTTAATTTTACCACATGTTGGGAAAATGTATAGCAAAGTTGATATAAGAGAAGATCTCGACCGTGGGAAGCATTTTGTTGAAATGAAGTTATCAAAGAAGAATAATAATATTTAAAAAAAAACATTCTTTACTTCAAAGTTGAGAGACAGGGTCAGTTGCAAAATAAAAGTTCAATACGAGGAGAAGATGGGAAAAAACCAATTTTTGGCGTGAAAAGGTGAAGGAGAGTTCCTAAATTAGGATTTGATTTTTTTCTTTTTTTTTTAATGCAGAAAAGATACCGCGTGTAAAATTAAACTTGGATGAGGTGAGGAGAAGAGAGAATGAAAAAAAAGATTGATGTTCTCCTGAGATATTCAATTACTTACCTTGGTTTCCTTCTGTAAAGCATGGAAGCCATCCTCCCCACAGAACAGTTAATAAAAGCGAAGGCAGGAAAAAAAGACAGTGTTCTTCCATTCTTAACATTACATTAGGACATGATTCATAAAGGTAACTATTGAAGGGGCAGCGAAAGTCTAGTGCGGTTTCATCGTTCGCAAAGTCCTAGATAGATGCACCACTGACAAACTGCATTATTTATTGATAACTATTCATATCCTAAGCTGACGTTTCACGCGCTCTCATTGTCCGGTAATTATCCTCTCTACCCGGGTGATGAGAATATATTCAACATAACTTTCTAAGCCCATGGTGGCCAGCTGCGATTCGATGAGTTCTCAAGTGGTGGTTGTTCAAACACACCCATAGCTTGAATTCTTCGAATTACTGCGATCAGCGATAGGGATCATTGTGACATGAAACTTATCATCACAATCAAAACAGATCGATGTCAATTTTGCAAAGGAAGAAACGCTAGGAATTTCATTTTCGTCGGGAAAATCAAATCATTTAATTAACTTCAGCATACGTCAATTTGACAACACATAAACATACTCTTTCACAACCTTAGAATTCTAGGGAAAAGTTTATTGCTTTACACCTGTGCATTAAGCTGTTTATTTTACAACACTTCATCATTGAACAAAATAAAAGAATTAGTTGTTAAGCAACTTATTGGGAAAATAATCCATGTAATTTTCTGAGGGAGTCAGTTGAATCCATTGTGTTGATTGAACTGTACCTTTTTTCGGTGTTTGCAGATCCACTTTTAAACATTAAACATGTTTTTTTTTGTAACACCATTTAGTGTAATAAACAAGAAGTCCTTCTTTAAAAACTTCAGACGTCGCATTTTATCGGAGGAGAAAAACTGATGTGCTGAATGGGTTAGTTGAAAATTCATTCGGGAGGCTTAAGGATCGAGTTAAAGAAGCTTCATAACTTTGTTATTTGGAAGTATATGCAAAAATATATTTATTTTCCTTTCTCTGTAAATTGATATGCTGTTGGAGCCTGACAGGGGAGAGGAGGGGGAGGGTTTCCAGCACGACCCTGAAATTCTTACAGCGAAAGAGTCAAATTTAAGCTCTCAAGTATTCATTTAAAACTCAATACTTGCTTTTGTTAAACTCCGATTATAAAGTTTTGATTATCTAAGACACGAGGAAAGTACGAAGGAAAGTAGTTTTAAGTATTTTTTTAACTAGTTTCTTCACCAAGGCAGTTACAGCGACTGCAAAGATCCAAATCCTAATATTAATTTGATTTTTTTGGTTGGCTTCGCTTCCTATGTATGCACTCGACTCAGTTTCAAGTGTCACCTACCATATATCAATGGTTGATCTAAATAGACCAGCATCGGGAGTTTATCTTTGACCTTCCCAAACCTTTTTGGATCTACATATTTTTTGCTGGTAATTAGAACATAGGTGCTGAGTACAAATAGACTGTTGTGGTTTCCCACTTATCTGGCCTGTGGGAGTTAAAACCATCATTTTAATTTCATTAATGCAATACGTTGAATGATATATCCAAAATATCGGAAGTTTTATATCGAACATGAACGTGCGTAACGAGCGTAACGTGAAACCTTCCCGGCAGATCTCGACCATGAAAATAAATTCATAACCACTTATTGACTTATTGTGTACATAAGACACCTGTTTTTAAATTTGCAATTTGCAATTTGTTTCAAAGATTACCGAGAGAGCGGCTTTCAACACAGAGACAGCAATGTTAAAAATTGTCAATGACATTCTACTAAACATGAACCGCCAGCATGTATCATTGTTAGTCAGTTAGTTCTCCTGGACTTAAGTGTGGTATTTGACGCTGTGGACCATAATATCCTTCTTCACCGTCTAGAGACCTCGTTTGGCGTCAC